TGTTGTCCACATGCTGGGGTGACAGACAGGCCCTCATAGGGCCAAAGTAATGAAGGTTATGCTCTGAGAAGGGCTCAGGTAGCTCCTCTCCATGTTCACCTTGAGGCCCCACCAGGCCACGTGAGAGAAGGCAAGCAGTGTCCTGTGGCGCCTGAAGCCGGGGTGGCGCCCAGGTCAGCCAGTCGTTTAAGTACGGCAGTATGTTCACGCCCTGTGATTGCAAGGGGAAAGGACAGCAGTAACATCTTGTGAACACCCATGGGGAGATGGGAGAGTCCGAATAGAAGCACCCTGGACTGAAAGTGGCGGCCTTAAAAGGCGAAACGAAGAAACTGCCTGTGGTGATGCACCATGGGAACATGGGAATAGGCGTCGATAGACATGAACCACTCCCCCTTGAAAATTTGCTGTTGGGAGAAAAAACCGACAGCCGGCCCCCCTGCCTCTGGAGGCTGGGGGGGGGGGGGGGGGGGGGGACGACTGTTAGTTCCCAAGTTCGGAGGTTGTCTGGGCGGGACGTAGGTAGGGTTGTATGGGTAGCGGTCCGGCCTCTCAGCGGGACGCTGAGGCCTGTGGCAGCTACTAGGGTAAGCTGGAGGCTGAAAAAACGGCCTTGGGGGGCCAAAGTGGGACCCCTAGGTCTGCGGGGTGCAGGCATGTCCCTGCAAAGACCAGAGAACTGCTGCCTGGTCTGGCTAGCTTCAACAATTCGCTGAAGTGCCTGGTCTGGCTAGCTTCAACAGTTCGCTGAAGCGCCTGTATAGCAGCTGACTCGAACAGCTCACCAGGTTCCACTGGGACAGTACGGAGGGTCCTCCTACATGTCTCAGAGAGGGGTGACTGCGCCAGCCAAACCTGGCGGTGAGTCTGGACCAGGGTGGACATCATACGTCCAAGTTCCCTCGACATGAGCGCAAACGTCTTCAATGAAGCATCACTGAGGCTGGAGGCGGAAGCGTCGAAAGTAGCCTGCTGCAGAGAAGCTGCGAGGGCAAGCATGAGGTGGGAGAGGGAGTTGTCGATACGGTCCACAGCACTGCTGTGTCATGAGCCCTGGATTGACCCGACGTTGGGGTTGAGGGCACCTGGCATCGGGCCTCATAGTCTCCTCAGGGGAAACTATGATGGACGCAATAGTCGGCTAAATGGCTGGCATATGTGCAAGGCCAAATTTTGCCACCTCCTGCATGGTCATCAGGGTTCGGCCATCTGATGTAAGGCGGGAGAGAGCCCTGGTGTCTCTCCAGCATGCATGCAACTTCCTCAGATATTCCTCAGAGGGAGGAACAGAAAAGGTGATGAGGGCGGGAAGGTGCCTGAAGAAGGCACTCACAGGTGGAAGTTCCAGCTGCTGTGTATCCCACTGCAGGCGTGCCAGCGCCATGCAAATGATCAGGGTAGGTTGGGCTGGATTCAGCTGCCCTGACAGGGGGAGGTAGACCTCACGCATCAGGTGTTCCACTTCGGCCAGCCTAGCAGACCTTACTGCTCAAGGCGTGATGCCGCAGGTCCTGCCTGGGTTCTCCGAGAGGCCCTCCCTCAAATGCTCGAGGCAAGAGGTCACGGCCTTCCTCAGGCTGAAGAGGAGCTATACAGGTCCTACAGCCGGGAGAGTTTAACATGGCCGCGATTCTGGAGGAACCCTTGTCCCACTAGTTGATGCGGAATTCCAAATCAGTCTGAGCGGGAGCGCTCTGCTGAATGTTGAGAGAACAGGCAGGGGGCAATCAGAGGAGAGTGATCTTTTCAGACACTCTCTTCACTAGGACAGTCGCTGCAGATATTGGTGTCCCAGCGAGTGAGAGCACTCTGCCACTGTGGAAACAGACCAAAAAAACAGTCCTTACAGTGAGAGGGGAGCGAGGACACTCTCCTCATTAGGATATTTGCTGCAGATATTGGTGACCCACCAGTTAGCCTGAGCGAGAGCACTCTGCCACTGTGGAAACAGACCAAAAAACAATCCTTCCAGTGAGAGGGGAGCGAGGACACTTCACTTGGACAGTCGCTGCGGATATTGGTGTCCCACCAGTTAGCCTGAGCGAGAGCACTCAGCCACTGTGGAAACAGACCAAAAAACAATCCTTACAGTGAGAGGGGAGCGAGGACACTCTTCATTAGGATATTTGCTGCAGATATTGGTGACCCACCACTTAGCCTGAGCGAGAGCACTCTGCTACTGTGGAAAAAACAGACCCAAAAAACAGTCTTTCCAGTGAGAGGGGAGCGAGGACACTCTTCACTAGGACCGTCGCTGTAAATAGTGGTGTCCCACCAGTTAGCCTGAGCGAAGACACTCAGCAAACTGTGATAGCCATAATGTTACAAAATCAATGGACACAATCCCAGTGTTAACTTAGTCTAGTTAGTGTCCCACCAGGTTAGCCTGAGTGAGGACACCGCCAGCTGCGTCAGCCGTAATGCGTAAAAAGCATCAATGGACACAACATCAATGTTGATTTAGTATAACTAGCATTCACCGAGTTAGCTTGAGCGAGGACACTCTGTTAACTGTGACAGCCGTAAGGTTACAAAGTCGATGGACACAGTCCCAGTATCAGCTTTGTCTAGCTAGCATCTCACCAAGTTAGCCTGAGTGAGGACACTGCTAACTGTGAAATATGTCAGATGTAAAAATGAAATCTCAATGGACACAATGCCAATGTCGATCTAGTCGAGCTAGTCTCTCACCAAGTTTGCCTGAGCGGGAACACTCTGCTAACTGTGATAGCCGTAATGTTACAAAACCAGTGGACATAATGCTAATGTTGATCTAGTCCAGCGGTTCCCAAACGTTTTAGGCCACACACCCCCTTCTACATCCCGACCGGGTTCACGCACCCCCAATCCCCCACACCTTAAAAAAAAAGCAACAGAGCCTATTTATAGTACGTTTTTTATAGACCCAACACATGAATGAGACTGCAGTTGTTTTGGGCTGTTTTGTAACTCCTCCAATTTCGATATAAAAAATGTAAGGGGCTTTTGACTTGCACTGGCATGCTTGGTGTTCAGGTGGCGACGTAAATAAGAGGGCTGCAGACAGCTGTTAGCCAGAACCTCACTGCACCGACTGCATGGCAACCCTGTCTCCTAAAAATTACGTTCCCCCAAAACTAAAATGCATTCTCAATTACGTTTGACCAAACACGTATTTTCTCCCTGATTACGTTTGTGTTTGACTTATTACATTGACTTATTACAAATATGTTTCTAATCAACATTTTAACACTTTAATATTTTTTTCCCTCTCCACCACCGCCTCTCCTTCTCCCTATTACGCGGTTAGAATACTACCACAACACGCCGCCTGTCTCCGGCAGAAATGCGCTCATCCACGCACGGGAACAACACCGAGTTGTCGGCCGAGATACCACCAAAACACCCCGCCTGTCTCCAGCAGAAACGCGCTCATCCAGTCCGAGCAATGAGGAACATTACGCGGCTACAATACCTCCACAAAGGCCCGTGTGTAAAATCCGGGAGTAACCGTGACTCTCTTAAGGGTTAGGTTTGGGTGGGGACGTGGCTTCCTAGTGGAAGTTATGGTTAGGGTTAGGGCAGGGTTAGGGTGCGATGGATACAAATAAATAAAATATACCTCCATAACACCCCGCCACTCTCGGCTCATACCTCCCCAGCAACGAGGCACATCACCCGGCCACAATACCTCCAGAATGTCCCCCGGGTGAAATCCGGGACTTGGTTTTATGGTTCCGAGTGGCGGGCGCTCACCCGTTGGCGCCGGACGCGAGGTCTCCAGCCGCCCCCGCCGTGAGGCACCCCATCGTCAGGTCTGTCAGCCCTCGGAACAGGCCGCGGGGCAACAACTTGTGGGTGGCGGGGGGAGAGGCGAGGCAGATCACAGAAAAATAATAAAGACTGGAGTATGGCAAAGATATGTTGATGAGAAACGTATTTGTAATACGTCAAACACAAACGTAATCAGGGAGAAAATACGTTTATGGTCAAATGTAATTGAGAATGCATTTTAGTTTTGGGGGAACGTAATTTTTAGGAGACAGGACTGCACCATTAAACCACCATTACATTTTTCCTCTCGCGCACCCCCTAGAGGCAGCTCGCGCACCCCTGAGGGGCACCACACTTTGGGAATCCCTGATCTAGTCGAACTAGCATCTCATCAAGTTAGCCTGAGCTAGGACACTATGCTCATTGTGAAGGGCGGGCCGACAGCGTATATTCTACACTCTCGTTAGCGCGCCACTCGATTAGCTAGAGCGGAAGTGCTCTGCCAACCGTGGAAAACGAACAACGGTTATAGAAAACAATGTTAATCGATCTCACCGATTGCTGTCTTCACGACTTAGGTGGCCCTTATCAGACTGGTGATGACTGATGATAGGGGCATCCACCAGTCCGGGGCTCGATGGTCCGAACGGCGAACACACCGCTCCCTCCGAAGAGGGACAGCTTGTCGCAGCCTTTGGAGGGCGAGAGATCCGCAATGTCTTGATCGTAGGCACATCTTTGTTTATGCTACCATGGTAGCTAACCTGCATAGCTAGAAGATAAAAAAGGACTGAACTCAGGATGACACCGGAACTTATAGACGACGGGGGTCATCCGAGGTCACAGGTGACTTTGTTGATATAAATATTCGACCTGCGCATGCGCGAGACAGAAGATATCCAGTGTTAAGCACTGCCTCTGGCGGTCAGTAAGGATGAAATAGAATCCTGTATCTGATCACATGGTGTGTACGTTGGCCTCAGATACTCAGTTACTGTGATAGAACTAGTATTACATTAAAGGTCGGATACATTAACCTCGGCTGGACAGACTGCCAAGTGTTTACTGTGTTTGATAGCATTGATCAGGTGACAACAGCCTTATCCAAACATCCAAATGACATAAAGAATCACAGTGAGGACTCCACCAGGGGAACTTTATTGCAAATACACCCAATATGATAAACAACCATTGGTGTGTGTAAGAAAGAGCCGTGTTTAACACGACTTTGATTTTCTTTCTTTCAGAGCAACAATATAAGTTGGAGAAACATCAAGCAGTTGCTGACCTCGGTGCCGTGAGAGAACAACTGAGGAAAACCAGGGACGATGTAGGTTTGAGATTGTTCCTTTTGTCCAGCACTGTTTCTATCATTATGATTCCAAACACAATGCATTTTTGCTCATCATGAATTTATGTCAACGGCAAGGCTACCAAATTGTTCAGACTTGTTACTGAGAGAAGGTTCTCCTCTTCTTGTGACCGGTTTTTAGTCCTGCACCTGTAGCCAGCTTAGTTTGGATGTTTTGCACACTAACCACCTGTATTACTCATCCAGCAGTAGTTCAGAATGATTTCAATTATTGCTGGTAAATGCAACATGTCTAACACTTAGGCATGGTTTTAACCTCGGATAACTGTGACTCATCAGTAACAAAAGCAGAGGCACTGCAGTATCTCTATATTTGTACTGGCAAGCTAACAATTTTTCTGAGGTGCAGTGAATTAAGCTAACCTTTTTGTGCTATTTTCTTCACCGTAGCTGGTAGCATCTGTCTCTGTTTGAGTTAGTTTTGTCACGCCGAAGGCAGAAATGGAGCAATGACTTGTTATTCGGTCTAAGGGAGTTACATTTACACTAAGCCTTGCAGTTATACCAGCTACTAAAAGGCCAACATGTGTGCTGTATGGCAATGGTTCCAAGAAAGGATGTGGGCCCATCTGAACCCCAGTGAACTCCTCACTCCCCTCCTGCAGGGTGGACTTACTCGCACTACATGGTTTTCTGGTCTGGTGTCCTATTGCGTCGCCCACCGCTTACTGAGGGCTCCCAGCTCTGTGTTGGTCTCAGTATCTGTAGGTTAACAAATAGATGCAGACAGGATCTAAACCAAAATGCTTGTTCTCACATCTCCTTCCTCCTCCTCTATCTCTTCTTGCTCTACCTTCCCTCTTAACATTCAGCAACCAATCAGAAGGACAAATCACCATGTGACCATGATACTTTTCTCCCAGAAGAAGTTTGTCAGGACTCTGCACTACATTGCCAGACTGTCAGTATGTTACTGTAGGCTTGGAGAACACCACTGATGACAGTATAACACTGGATTATTTTCATCCCGACCAGTTTCCATATGTTTCCTCAATGGAGCTGTACAAGGCTGAAATGTGGATGCTTTTCAAAAGACCAAACCCCATTTACTACCCGTCATGGACACTTTGCATACGTGTATAGTTTTTTAAAGAACATTTGTGGTGTGTTTTCCTCCCCAACAACCAGCTGTTGGTTCCATCATTCATATAAAAATAAATTACTCTGTTGTTTTGGTCCAGCGGCCTCCTGAATGAGAAATGAGTGACTTCAAATGTTATTTGTAAAAACCTTGTTTGTCATCTCCATTTTAACAATGACAGTGATTGCTATAAAACAGAACTCATATTGTTCTTCTCTACTCTCTCTTCCTCCTTACCTTTGCAGCTGCTGAAAGAGGAACACGATAACACTGTTTTAATTGCTGAGACAGTAAGGCAAAAGAAACTCCTGGGCAAATATAACAGAGGTTTGTGTGTGTGTGGGGGGGGGGGGGGGGGGGGGGGTGGTATTATTAAAAAAAAAATGAGAAAAAGGGTATGT